AGGGACCCCCCTCGATATTCAGGGGTCCGGAAGCAGCAGCTGCTCCCTCCGCCTGGGGATGGAGGATGAGGGACTGGGTTTGGGAGAACAGGGTTATTTTTCTTGTAGAGGTGTTAAGTCGTCTTCAGTATAGAAAATAAGATGTTGGTAGTTTTTTAAAAATAAAGTTCAGAAAGCTTCATAGTGTTAAATACTAATTCGTATTTCTCAGATGCCAATTCTTAGGTATACCAGGAAAAAAAAGGATAATAGTAAACAAAAGGTGAATAATGTCCCCCGATTCAGAGAGCCATTTGTGTTTGAAATGAGATCCCTGGCACACAACGGTTAGTTCAGCCTTGGCTTGTGGCTACTCTGAGTCTTTGAGTAACAGCACTCAAAGCCATTTGGCTTGAGGACTGACTGCAGCATGTGAAGTTGTTGTACCTTGGAGAGGCCTGGTGGCTTTCCCCCCATGTTTGTCCTCTGTGGGCAAGGCGGGTTTTGTGATCATTGGTACGGTTTTAGGCATTCTTGCTGCCATAGAGGTAATGGCACACGAATGACTCTGGGCTGTCGTGCATGAGGCTCATTGAGGAAAACCTGCTGAAGGAGACAGCAGAGATGTCAAATACACCTGTCTGCAAACATTTTAGTCTAATCTCCCCTCCAGAAGAAGGATGTCATGCTGGTCCTTGAGCAGGACGCATGGGTGTGGTATTTGGTGCTGCCGTTGCTGGTGTTTTCTCCAGCTCATGCTCGTGATGGCTCGGTGTGGTGGGGGGGTCGTACTGGTGTTACTGTGCCCTTTCAAAGAGCCTGAACTAAACTGCTGGTGAGATGCATGGCCTTTCCTGCTTGGAGACAGGGGACAGCCCACCTCTGCTTTAGCCACGTAATAACTGTGCAGAATGAAATCAGCTGTTAATCTTTAAAACAGTGGCGAGGAGTGCAGTAGCTGTTGGCGGGAAGGCAGAGTTCCTGCCTGCCCCCCTTCTCCGGTGCTATGAAACCGGCAGTAAAGCTCGAGCTTTGTCCAACTCAAAGCGCAGTTTTAAACTGAGATTGAGGGAGATGTGCTGCCTGCCCCACAGTGCTGGACAGCCTGCAGAGGTGGGTCTTTCCTTGTATTTTGGATGTGACAAAAGGGAGAAGGCTTCGGGAATGTAGGTAGGGACTTCTGTAATTAATGTTACATACTTGAGTGCATTAATGTTCCTCCTGTGAGTAAAGTAGGAAGTCCCTGGGGTGAATGGATGGGGAGAGGGCTAGGATGGCTATTGTTGCAGGGATTTAAATCCTTCTCCTCTGGTGCTGCCATTAGCTGGGTACCGTATCACACCCATCTTTATCACTCTGGCACTTACGGTGGCCTGGGACCTCATCCTCAGTTTTCCAACACCTCTGGTAGCCCTGTAGCTGATGGGATTTTGGTGGCTGAAGGCTGTGGCACTGCAGGGCAGAATTAGTATGGGTCAAAAGAGACATGTTCCCAGCATGCCCCGTATGACCTGTGCAGTGAGGTGGCGTGCCTCAGGACTTCAGGAAATCCTTGCCTCTGGAGACTTGCAAGGGGATGGATGGGTCTAGAGGGGCGATGAACAGCTGGGTGTCTTGCCCGGGTGTCCCTGTAGGTGCTGGGCACAGGGTGGGGACAGCTGAAGGAGTGGGCTATGTCTTTGGGTGACACATACAGCTCTTCATGCTGGTGTGACCCAGCACTGGCATCACAGGGCAATGCAGCTCTCTGGGTCTTCCCACTGGAGAGCGGTTTGGATCCAGTACCTGGCACTCCTTGATGGGGAGAGGTGGGATTTGATGTCCATGCTAGGTGCTACTTTAGGGAGCATCACCTGAGCGGTGATTTTGGCTCCTCCCTGCTCTGAGCCATCCCTTCATGCCCCACATGGATATGCTCTATTTTCTTCTTTCATGCCCGTCGTTCTGCCACCTCACTGCCTCTTCTCTGCTTTCTCTCCCACTTACCATCACCTTTCCTCTTCCAGCAGTAATTCTGTCTTGTCCTGTGAGGTTTCCCTGAACCTGTATTGTTCCCTCCATGAACAAAGTCTTATTATTTTTACTTTCTATAAGGATGACTCTTGCCCAGACTGAAATGAGACTTGAGGACCAAAGCGTGCAATGCCCTTCTGTGCACAACCCCCAGCTCTGTCCCTGTGCCATCAGACAGGGTATTTTTTTAACAGGGAGGCATGAGCTCCTCTGAGCTGCAGCCACCCAAAAGCAGGGCTGTCCTGGAAAATCACTGCGTTGTCTCTCACCAAACCACAGACCTCTCTGGTGTCACCATCAGGGCACAGGCAGCCAGTGCCTGGCCCTGGTGTGGGTGGTGGGCTTTGGAAGGGGACCTGCTCCCGCTGGCTCTCAACAACCATCTCCAAAGGAGGCTTTCATTTTTGTTCTGCCTTTCCTAAATATCCTTTTTTTCCCTCAATCATTACCATTTTAAGCAGATGGTGGGCCTATTATATAACTGAGCAGAAGGCTTCACTACAAAATTTAGCCAAATCGGGTGCTTCTTCAGATAAGACTAAACAACAACTCATTTCTGGGGTTTTTGGCCCTCCCTGTTCTACTTTGAGTTTGGAGGATGAAGTTATTCTGGGGGGTGAGATCAATGGAAACCTTCCTCAGTTATTAATAACTCGCTTGAGTCTTGAAGAAATTGTAGGGAAGCAAGATGTAGTAAAAACAAAGCTGTCTGCCCAAGGTTGCAGGATGAGCCCGCAGGATTCAGCATCGCTCCCGGCTGCTTGTGCTGCCCTTAGCAGCTTGGGGGTATATGGATCCCATAGCCTGGGGGGGTATGGGATCCCATAAGTGATTCCTTCATCCCTGACCATGTAATGCTTGCTTTGGGAAGACAAGGGAAGTACACCGGATGTGATTTTCAGGAGCAGTCCCTTTGCTTCCCATTTCACAGGGGGAAATGTCCAACCTAAAAGCTCCATGTGCAATGCTAAGGAGACCTGCTGGAGCCTCTCCTGGTCCTACCCTGGCTGGCTTGGTCCTAGTGTTGGCCTGAAAAACCACCCGGCCATAGGGTATCAAAAGCCTGAAGCATCCCACATGTATTTTGATAGTATAATTTAAATCCATCTATTTTCTTTACGTGCTGCAGAAAGCTAGCATTTGTGTGCTTGTTGCATGCTTCGATCAATGCCCAGAAGAGTAGGATGTTCCTGGGAAAATGGAAAATAATTTCAATTCAAGGGCACATTCAAAGCAGGAGGCAGACCAAAGAAACCCAGTCTCCCTGAAAAGCATCAATCGAATGAACTGTGCTGGGGCACACAGCTTCTGGAACGAGTGCTCCCGTGTTCCTGGGGTGTCCAGAGCCAATTTCAGGGGAGCTACAGGAGATTTGGCTCTTTCAGTACATCACTCAAGGTAGAAGCTTGAGGTTTTTTCATTGAATCCTAGACAGTATTTTTTTAAGAAAGCAGGTTTTAGCACAAGTATAGCTGTGTGCTTCTGGTACAGTGCACATTGCGTGAGTTGTCCTCCAGTCGTGGCAACCCTGGTTCGTGCTGCTGAGCATTGTCTGCACCTTTGAAAGTTATTGCACACCACATCAGGGAGAAGAAGGCTTGCAGCAGCGGGGCTGTGCAGGCATGCATGCGGCTAACGGGACTCCTAATGGCAGTGTGTTCATCTTTCCTGTAAATTCACACCATAGCTGTCTCCTTGCCGCACAGCTGGGCTCGGTGCAGGTGCCCATGGCTTCTTGGCTGAGCTCCCTGCAGGGCTGGCTCAGCACCCGGTGAGGAGGCAGCAGGGCAGCGCGGGTGCTGCCAGACCTGCCTTTCCTCCCCTCTGTCCCCCCTGGCAGGCCCTGGGCTGTGGTTAGTGATGGTCCCTATTTGCTGGGCGATGGCTTGACTCTACTTTCCATGAGGTTTTGGGGAAGGAGACACTGCTGAGCAAGGACCTGCTGTGGTTCCTGAACACTCGATATGGCAGTTTGCTGCAGGTCAGCTTGTTGCATCGGTGTGAGTTGTTGCATTTGCTGCTCCAGACCATTGCTGCATCCTTGCAGCTGTGTCTGACCCACGGTGCTTCACGTTTGGATAACTTCCAGACCAAAGCAAAACTAGGAGCTCCAAAAGGAAGAAGCCAGAAATAGCTATTCTAGACTCAAGGGCCGTGGTTTATATTGACTGCTTCGGCCACCAGGATCTCTAAATTACACCCTGACCTAAATTAATTGCTATTGTGCTGCTGGCAACGATTGCACGACAAGCATGTCCTGCAGTGTCCAGTGCGAGAGCAGCTTCCAGCCACAGCTGTGTCTCAGTGGTTGGGCTGGGAGGCCACTGCCAGCAGAAAATCATCTGCATGAAAACCAGCCAGCCAAGTGAAACGTGCTAGCTTAAAATGTTCCAGATACCTTCCTTGACGTGCTTGCTGCAAGTGGTTATTAAAAATCCCTCTCCTGGATAGCTCTTAGGCTGGAAAAGAGGGAGAAACTCGCAGAAACCCGCTCTCCTCCATCTGTTTTTAAAAGTGGTGTGGCAGTGGCCACTGCCCCCATGGGCTCTGTGGCTCCCAGGGTTTCCCAGCCGGCTCCAGCGTCGTTGGTACCAGGCATGGTTTTAAGCACTGTGCAGATCAAGAATCAGTACAGAAAATAACCAACCTCATGGTTTAAACTTTTTTTTTTTACACCAAAGAGGGGTTTTCCCACTGTGCATTAGTACCCACATGCGGTATGGCAAAGGAGTGTATAATTAAGACAGTAAGCTTAGAAATATTAACTGTGAAATATGTAGTCACACATGCTGAGATCAAGTTAATAAGTGTTAAATGAACAAATAAAAGGCATAAGTAAATGTACACGCTACCTGCAAAGTCCTGCTGACAGTTTCTTGGGTTTGGGTCTTTCTTTTTTAACCTTATTTATGAATTACAGCTGACAAGGGAATAAGGAACGTTTTGGAGGATTTGTTTGAAGCATAATATCAATATTGCATTCTTATTTATATTCCTTCTATCCACAGGATTGAAAAAACGTACAAGGAAGGCCTTTGGTATACGCAAGAAAGAAAAGGATACTGATTCCACGTAAGTCAATGAGATATAAACCACATTAATATATAATGATGCTGGGGAGAAGTTGATGCCAGTGTGCCAGGATGGGAAGGAAGTCGGTGCATCACAGGCATTTGTCATCCTTGGATCAAGCCTTGTAGTAGCAAATACATCTAAGCTGTTTCCCTTGTACATCCAGCGGCCAACACATAAGGTATTTTCTCAGTGGTGCTGCAGAGATAATAAAGCCGGTTCCCCACGTGTTTGCAATTTACGGTGACAGTTAGCGGTGATCAGAAGAAAATTACTCCTCTGAGAGTTTCAGCAGATTAATCTCTGCCCAAACTACTGATTTGCCTGTCTGCTTAGATATTTTTAGATGCAAATTCAATTTAAACAGATGCCCGTGCAGGCGGTGAGGCCGTTGTTGGAGCGAAGGGCTGTAGGGCTGTGTGGTTGGGGCAGGCTCAGGATGGCGAGGGTGCACGGGGCTCATGGAGCACACACTCCTTCGGCTTTGCTGCGAGAGATGCTTTTGTTTCCTGGGAAAACGTCTAGTGGGGTTTTCTCCTCACATCTGGTAGGGGATGCTGTGCACAGGTGCAGAACCACTGGTGGGGTGCTGAGCCCAGCCCAGGGAGGACTCTCCGCTGCCACTGATGTGTCTTCGGGGAGGGGGGTGGAGGGTGGGGAATGTCCCAAAGCAGCATGGCAGAGGAGCCTGTCCAGCCTGTGTGCTGGGGACGACGTGGAGGAAAGGCAGCGGGGAGCCCCATTCCGGCACCTGCAGCATTGTCTAGGTGCTTAATGTCTGGCACAGTAGAAACCCTATGGGTTTGGTTTTTTTTTAACTTGTTTTCCTGAGCTATTTTGTATCTCAGTGGTGGTTGGTGAGGTTTCCCATGCAAAGGGACAGCTGCTGCAGCTCTGCACGTCTGGCCACATTCCTGGGGCCACGGCGAGCTCAGCTGCACTGGCATCTGCAGGGCTTTGCCTGCTGCAAAAGAGGGCCCAAAAATATGGGGGGACGTGGAGCATATCCCAAGAGGGCTGTGCAGCACCAAGCTGTTGTCCTGCTGGCAGAGGGGGGCTTGTCACCAGGAATAGTGGCTGCCCATCCACCAGCCGGACAGGCTGAGGAACAGCCAGGAACTCCTGCTCCAGCTGTGTACAGCTTCATTTATAATTTATCAGAAGGATGAGCAGGAAACAGACTGCTTCGCATCTTCCTCTTCTGCTCATGGAAAATCAATGGAGCCATGTCTAGGCCTTTAGCCTAGACCTTTAGCCAGCACCATGATTTCCACGCTTGCTTGCAGCAGCCTGCTCTTCCTAGAGGCTGAGGAAGCTTGTGGCACAGGGAGATAATGAATCCAGGGGCGCTTGTGATGGTAATGAGCTTGCAGAAAGGCCACTGTGGGGGAGATGCTGCAATTAGCAAGCAGCAGTGATTAGCATGTCGCGGGGTCGCGTTGTGGTCATTGCCCTGAATGGCTCTGAGCGCTCTCCAAATCCCCCGTTGGCAGCCAGCGCAGGGCTGGGAGGAGCGGCGGGTTCAGACAGACCCTCTGGTC